CGCCGCACTGTCTCTCTGCGCATGCTCGGGCGGGGCCGGAGCGGGGTTTGAGTAAGTTTAGTGCCGTGGGCGGTCCTGGTGTAACTGGTGAGTCCTGTCTTGTGGTCCCCACGGTGTTCTCTGTAATTTCATTTCCGTTTTCTCAGAGTGGATGTTGTGATAGTACCGTGTACTGTCATTTAAAATGATCATACTGAAAGCCCGGGATGCTAAAGTTCCACAAGTCTTGGGCCTGTAGAAAGAGATTGGGAATTGGCTCAAACTTGGAGCTGTGTGGAGACGGAATTCCGATATACCAATTTTCCGAGTTAGTGAGAGCCTCCGCATGCGCGCACGCACACACGAACACACACACACACACACACACACACACACACACACACCATTCTTTAGTGTGTGCCCTGGGGGTGGCAATCTCCTCCAAGCTATAGTTAGGGGAAAGTCACACTCTCTCTCACACACACACACACACCATTCTTTAGTGTGTGCCCTAGTGGCTGTGTGGAGACGGAATTCCGATATACCAATTTTCCGAGTTAGTGAGAGACTCAGCATGCGCGCGCGCGCACACACACACACCCACACACACACACACCCACACACACACACACACACACACACACCATTCTTTAGTGTGTGCCCTAGTGGCAGTCTCCTCCAAGCTATAGTTAGGGGGAAGTCACACTCACACACAGACACCATTCTTTAATGTATGCCCTAGGGGTGGCAGTCTCCTCCAAGCTCTAACGAGAGGAAAGTCAGCAGAACTACTGACTCCCTATGACTGGAGTCATTCAAATTTAACACGTCAGGAGCTTCTGAGGACTGGCCTCACCAGGATGAGAATTCTCATTGTCAGCTCTGTGGCAGGTAACCAGTCCCCAGGTCCTACTGTAGAATCTGACTCGTTTTCTTTAAACATTTTAATTAGTATACACGAATTATACAAAATAATGAATTATTCCAACATTTTCAGACATGAATAGACTTTGACCGTATTTTCAATATCAAGCCTTGTGTTGGACTCCCTGAACTGCCAGTTGGAGGTTTGCGTGCAGGAGGATTATTGAGATGTGCCATTTGTAGACAACACCTACAACAGAGTGAGAGAAGGGGCGGGGATGGAGGGAGAGAGAACAATTGGACAGTGCTGGCTAGTTTTATGTCAACTTGGGAAAGCTAGAGGGACTTCAACTGAGAAAATACTCTAAATCATACTGGCCTATGAACAAGCCAGTGGTGTAGGGATTTTTTTGAACATATTTATTTATTTTGTGTTATCAGTGACCTGTCTTCATGCACACCAGAGAGGGAATCAGATAACATTACAGCCACCATGTGGTTGCTGGGAATTGAACTCAGGACCTCAGGAAGAGCAGCCAGTGCTCTTAACTGCTAAGCCATTTCTCCAGCCTGTTGTGTTTTCTTGATTGGTGATTGATGTGGGAGGGACCAGCTCACTGTGGGTGGTGCCAGCCTTTGGCTGGTGGTCCTGAGTGGTATAAGAAAGTATATATGAACAAGCCATGTGGAATGAGCCAATAAGCAGCACTCCTCCATGACTTCTGGGATTTCCTTCCACAGTCATCTGAATTGAAGCAAGGAGCTAGGCTGTTTTACTTTATTACTGACTAATCTTTAAATACGAGATGCTTTTGGAGAGGGATCCAATTTTTTGGCAAATCATTTGTCTTGAGAGCCAAATACAGAAAGCAAACAACACTCCTAGTATCCTAGCAGTTTATGGACTTCGTACCATGGTCCTGAAACAGGATCCTGGCCCATTTCCAAGATCTTTCCATTTCCCAACAGTAAGTTATTTAAAGAAGACATTATTTACTTTAATTAGTGATTTATTATCTTGATTAATTAATTTGCTTGTCTATCAATGAGTTTAATTTCTCATTGTCAATAACACATGGAATTCTCTAATATTGGAGAAAATAAGCAGGAGTTTTCTTTCATGTTGTTACTCAAAATTTTCTAAAAATTCTAATCAGAATCTGTTGATCTACAGTTTTATGCCCCACACTTTGTTCAGGGACAGACTATAAGATGTATAGCAGAAAGTTCACCTCAACACCCAGCAGATATTGCACCCAGCCTGGGAAAAAATCTTTCACTCATGAGTTTAGGTTAATATGACAAATACCCTCCACCTGTCTGTGACTTTAAAGGGTGTGTTAATATTTTTATATTAAAACATCTAACTTTGTATTGTGGTTTGGTTACTCACTTCAATACTGCTTCAGTATAAATACATGCACTCAAGTCAGCATTACATGATGACCCCATACTTAATGGAGAAATTTTCAGATGATGATAATTAAAAACTACTATCTAGTATTAAAGTTTATTTTTAAATCTTTTAAGAATAGATTTGACTCTGACCATGGTGGTTTATTTGGGAGGCTAAGGCAGGAGGGTTGATATAAATTTGAGGCTAGACTGTCCTACATAGCAAATCATTCCCACCCCCAGCCATTTGGTTTCTTACACATTGTATTTCATAAAGGAACAATACAGCAGGTGTGTATAGGTCAGAGGCCAACCTCAGGCATCATTCCTCAGGAGTTTTGACCTTTGAGACAGGGTCTCCGATTAGGCGGGACTGGCTGGCCAGTGAACCCCATGTTTCTGCCATTCTCTGACTCCCTAGGTGAGTCTACAAGTGTATTCTTCCACACCTGAAATTTTTATATGGACTTTGGGGATCAAACTCAGTTCCTGGTGCTTGCAAACCAAGCAAGCACATATTGTTTACTTCAACACAGTGACTTAAACTTGAGTTATAGGGCACATCTACTCTGCTATTACTCTTTTTCTAGAACAAATTATCATATAAATATTCTGTTGTAAAGAATCCCCGCTGGGGGTCCAGAGAGATGCCTCAGCGGTTAAGAGCACTGAATGTTCTTCCAGAGGTCCTGAGTTCAATTCCCGGCAACCACATGGTGGCTCACAACCACCTTGAATAAGATCTGGTGCCCTCTGCTGACGTGCAGGCAGAAGACTGTATACATAATAAATAAATAAAAGCTTAAAAAAAAAAAAAGAATCCCTGCTGTATGTGACTTCATTTTCCAGCTGTAAACAACCATAAATATGATACCAATCAAAAGATATGTATAGGTAAGGCCTTTGTGCTATTTATTCCACTGCCTACAAGTACACAGCTTGAAATGCCTTAAATGCCAGCTTTGATGCAATGTGTTACTTTGTTTTCTATTCTGTGCTGTAACACTGTTGTTTAACATTTTCATCGGAAATTGAAGCATTCCATCCTGCAGGCAAGTTCTTTAAGCAGGAAGGTAAACAAGTCAAAATAGCTTCAGGAAGTCCCTGAAACTGATCAAATGGTATAAAGGCTTTCTCCCTGCCAAAATAAGCAATAAAAGCCGAGAGTCCCTCCCAGACTCAAAAAAGCCAAACTGCAAGGAAGACTCTGAGACTAGCCAGGCTGTAAAGAAGACTATGAGAAGTGAGCTACCTGAAAGAGGTTTGGACCAGTGTCACTTGGAAAGGTCAATTTCCAAACTATTGAGCTGCCTGCAGACTATGCGGTGCCCTCTGGGTTTCCCAGCTTTTGTGAGCTGTCACCAGTGCTGGGGTGGGCCTTGGTAATGCAGCTGTCTTGGAGTCATTTCTTCTGTATGTAGTTCATCATCCATACTCCACAATAAAACTCACTGTTTCACCAAGTTGGACTTTGGTGGTATCAGTACTTTGGTCTGTTGTGGGCTCCCTATTGGGGTGAGTAGATATGTGTGTTGCATCTCCCCAGGAAAAGTTTTGTCACATAACAAATATAGCCAAAAGCAACTCAGAAGAAAGGCTGTATTTGGCATACACATACCAATCACAGTTCATCACTGAGTAAAGTCAGGACGGGAATGTGGAGGCAGGAACTAAAGCAGAGGCCCATTGCTTGCTACATCTAACACCAGCATGTCTGGTAAGCCCCTCCCTCTCCACCTCTGGGCATGCTTCATGAGTGAGAATTTGTCTTGTGACCGAATGTGGTTTTCACCTTTTGGATTTGTTCTAAAGCCCCAGTACTGGGCAACCTCATGACTTTAGGGCTCAGGGCCCCTCAGGCTCTGCTTTTTTTTGGGGGGGGGTGCTGTTTCTATGTGACGATGCAGAACGCCATACACCCACCCACTCCCACAGCCCCTGGACCTTGTGGGTGATGGCCCAAGGCCAGCCCATGCCACGGTTCACAATGCATTTCTGGGATACTAGAGTACAGCCTCTGGACCCTATCTTTACTTCGCTCACAGAAAATGTGCCTACCCCAGTACCCGTCCCCTCCCCAACCCCAGATAACATGGCTGCTAATCGAATCCTGATATTTTATGGGCCATTTACAACATTCTGCCAGGGATCCAATATTTGTGTTGTGTACCCTATAGCCCCAAGCTTTTTTCTCAATGTCTTTTCTTGTCTGTCTGCCTCTTGTTCCTAGCATATGATCTAGCCACACTGAGTCACTCTCTCTCTCT